CTTATTTTTGGCATCCAAGACTCTTAACTTTAAACTTGCTCCGAGATTGACTCTCAGCCCAGTATTTCAAAACCATCATATAGATTAAAAAGAAAACCAAAATCTTTGATACGCACTTCTAATTAAGAAAACAAACCAACAAGTAGCTTGAGAATATGTATCAAAACGGCAAATAGCAAAAACCTAACCGTTCCCAAGAGCATCAGTCTTGCCCTAAAATAGATAGTTCCAAATACACAAGGACACCAAAAGACAACAGTGCTTTAAATTAAAGACTTCTAGATATATATGTTAAAACCTTCTGCATAGAGCAATGGATTCTCACTATGGAAAATCTCGAGGACACAACTCATTTAAATTTCTTTAGATTTCCGGGCAAAAGAAAGATAATTTCTTTAATCTGATAGCACAAGCAACAAAAAAGGAACATGAAATTCAAAATCAGGCATTGGTAGTCCCAAGTTCAAACGACAGCTGATATCCAATTACCAACAAAAATATCACAGCTTCTAGAATGCTAGGGTTTACCCAAAGCTAAATACCAGTGACGGATGTAGGCACTCTATATATGCTAGGAAATCCACTAAAAATATGTACAAAACTTAAATTCAGAACCCAATAATGCTAGCGGTTATGGTCATCGTCTTAGAATCCAGAACCCATAAAGTTCAAATCCTAGATCCGCCTCTGCTAAAAACAGTAAGCAGCTCAAGTTCAAAAAAAAAAAAATAAAGCAATCACCTTGGATAAAAAACACCAAAAAACACAAGTCTTGTCCATCACAACGCAGATCTTCAACTAGTTCAGGTCCATAGAACGATCTAATCAAATCATATCAACAACAACTACTAGGTCTCAATCCCAAACTAATTCGAATCAGCCATATGAATCCTATATATAAATTCCACTGCATATCCCGAAACCTACAAACAGGGGCGGAGGTAGTATATTATGTATGGGTTCGGACGAATTTAGTAGCTTTTGTTTAGATCTTGTATTATGAAATCCATTAAATATATATATAAATATTTTTACTGCAAGCTCAGTAACTAAACAAGCTATGAGTTATGCGACAAATCAGAACCCATAAACTTCAAATCCGGACTCCGTCTCTGCCTAAAAATTCTCTAAATCTCACACTTATCCCTACACTAACATACAAATCTATTTTATTTTATTTTTTAAAAAGACTCGGACTAACACGGACCTAAAGTAAGCTATATTAATCAAATTTAAAACAAAAGGAAAAGAGATGAACCTTTTTGCATGTAAGAGGAGAAGCGAGGAAGTAGACGCAATCAGTGTTTCGTTTAAGAGCTTCATCTTCAGCTGATAACGTGGTTGGCGCCGCCGCCGTAGAAAGTGTCTGAATTTGTAGCTGCCGCTGCGGCGGTGTAGGACCCACCATGTTCGGAAAACCCTAATAACCAGATCCTACAAGAAGCTTTAGGGGATGGATCTAGGGTTTCCTAAGAAAGGTATATATGTAATTTATGTATGTATATGCATACAATTATGAGCACATCTGAACCATAATTGATTCAGGTGTAGCAGCTTTGCAACCCAATAGGGATGGGAGGTGGGG